CTTTATAGTAAACTTAGTGTGAAGTTGAGCCTTAACTTCCTGGATCTGTGTAGAATCTTCCCCAGTGAGTAAAACATCATCAACATAAACCAGTAGGGCTAAAAATTTCCCATTTGACTTTCTAATAAATAGAGAATGATCATGCTTGGACTTAGAAAATCCCAAAGAAGAAAGATATTTGGATAATTCAATGTTCCACTGCCTGGAAGCTTGTTTCAGCCCATATAAAGACCTCTTCAATCTGCAGAATTCTCCTTGTTTGGCCTTGGTGTAACCTTGTGGTGGCACCATATAAACTTCTTCATCCAAATATCCATGAAGGAAGGCATTGTTAATATCTAGTTGATGCAAGGGCCAATTGTGGGCAGTGGCCAGAGCAATAAGAAATCTGACAGTTGTTAACTTGGCAACTGGAGAAAAAGTGTCTTTGTAGTCTTTACCAGGAATCTGATTGTACCCTTTGACCACTAGTCTGGATTTGTATCTTTCAACATCTCCATTGGGTAAATACTTCACCTTATAGACCCACTTAGGTGTAAGTGGTTTTGTCCCAGGTGGCAGGGAGGTTAATTCCCATGTTTGATTCTCTTCTAGGGCAGTGAGCTCCTTTTCCATAGCTGCCTGCCATTCAGGTATATCCTTAGCCTGAGAATAATAGTGGTAGACGCAGCCAAGCCATGTGAAGCAGCCAAAAAACTGTATGATTGGGAACTAGTGGTAGACGCAGAGGATCTACCCTTGGGCTGAATGAAATCTTTCATCCATGTTGGTTGAACTTGTGGCCTTGATGTTCTTCTAAGTTGAGGAAGATCAGTCTGATGAGTATCAGCACTAGGATGAGTATCAACACAAGGATGACTCATTGAAGAAGGCACTGTGCTAGACAGTTCTGCTTCTTGAAAATTTGGTTGAGTAGAAGGAACTGGACTGGGTCCAACATTTGTTTCATTTGGACTGTATTCAGATGGACCATTGGATGAACAAGGAACTGGTAAGCATGCATCAGATGACTTGGGTACAGACTGGAGTTGGGGCTTGGGGCTGTGCATGATATGGAAATATGTGTTCCTGGAAAATAACATCTCTGCTATGAAGGACTTTGTTGCCTTCAATGTCATACAATCTGTACCCCTTTTGGCCAAAAGGATAGCCAAGAAGAATGCACCTAATCCCTTTGTTATCAAGCTTGTCCTTTCTGTGAAGGTTACTGGCAAAACATTGACACCCCACAACCCTTAATTCATCATAAGAAGGTGGTTTGTTGTAGAGTAATTCAAAAGGAGTCTTCCAGTCTAATCTCTCCACTGGTAGCTTGTTGATAATGTGTGTTGCAGCAAGTACACACTCACCCCAAAATTTCTTAGGAAGATTGGCATGAAGTCTGATAGCTCTTGCAGTATCAAGTAAATGTCTATGCTTTCTCTCCACGACTCCATTTTGTTGAGGTGTTTTTACCATGGATCTTTGATGCATGATTCCTTTAATCCCAAAAATATCAGAACAAGTGGAATTAATGAACTCAGTTCCATTGTCAGATCTGACCACCTGGGCTTTCCTTTGGAATTGTGTCTCAATCATGTTTAAAAAGTTAGATACAGCATTCTTGACCTGGTCTTTATTATGTAATAATTGTGTCCATGTACTTCTGGTGTAATCATCCACAATAGTCAGAAAAAGTGTGGCTCCTGTAATGTTGGGCTTTTTGAATGGACCCCATAAATCTATATGAACCAGTTGAAAAGGAGTACTTGTAAATGAGACACTGTTAGGAAAAGGCAGTCTATTGAACTTGGCAAGCATACAAATGTCACAATGAATTCTGTGTTGTATATCAGAGGTACAAACAGAAATATGCTTCATTTTAGACCAAGAAGTATGTCCTAGTCTAGCATGTAAAAGTTCAAAATTACAAGAAGTAACATTCATTCCCAGAATCTCTGAATCGCCTCTGGTTTTGTGTTCAACTTTTATCTTGTATAAGCCATGACTCCTTGACCCAATTGCCACAACCTGATTAGTTGAAGGGTCCTGAAATATGCATTTATCAGGCATGAACAGAGCATTGATGTGTTGAGTATCAATCAGCTTACTAACTGATATCAAGTTGAACTGAAATTCAGGCACAT